GCCATCCCTACCGCCTACGTCATGACCCTGCACAAGGATTTTGAGACCTTCGAGCGGCTCTTCAGGGTACATGCCCCAAAACATCTACGGCGTCCATGTGGGTGCCAAGGCACCAGCCCCATTCCCGCAGGCTGTGCTGCGCCTTTCTCGCCTCCCGGGCGGAGCGGGTGGTCTGCGGTGGCACCTCTGGCCTGCAGGCAACCTCCACTGCTTATCTTAACTTCCACCATCAGCACCACTTTCCAGACAAGTTATATTTATAAGAACAGGATCCCAGAACAGCGTTCGAATCTGAAATCAGTTGCTGAAACAAATATTGAAAGGAAATGTGGTAAATCAACCTTTCCCCCCTCCATGCTAAGGTATAGTTTTTCCTACTCTTTAATTAACTTACAAAAATGCCTGATTTACTCAATCTGGGAGATGGTGAATACTGTGAACTCAGTAGTTTTGTATTCCTGGAAGGCAGTGCCTTCCAGTGTTTTAGTGGATGTCCTGGAGTTGTTCCTGTTTTGTCAGTCGTCTTTCTGCTTTCCCACTGTGTCAGCATTTTCCAAGTCTTTCTGCACATCACATTTATTGCCATCTGTTAGGAACAGGTTTTTAATTTGGGATGATAATGCATGTCCCAGGCCATTTAAAGTGTTTATCCCCTGCCATCACTGACTCTTTTTGTCTTTTATAAAGAGTTATCTTTAGCTTAATGCTTTCTGTGGAAGAGTAACATTTTCTGAATTTTCTCCAGGACAAACCCACACATTTTGGCATGTTATTTTATTTGATAATGGCCTAGTATACAGAGGGAAGGAAATAAAGTCATGAAGTTCTGGTTATAGCTTCCACATATCTCTGTTTATGACAAAGTGCTATGGTGGTTCTGCTGTTGGATCATACAGTCTTTTAGCATCTGATCTAAAAGTCATGACTCGGTATTTGCAAACAACCATCCTTACTTACCAGGAACAAACTATCCTTAAAAACACAGAGCAGAGCAAGCAAACAGAAAAAAAAAAAAGCCCCGATGCTTAACCTTTGTCCCATCCAATTTCTAAAAAAAACACCAACCCCAAACCCAAACCTTTCTGACATTATACAGCGCCTTTAGGGTTTCATTTGTCCTTCACTGTGCTCTTCTTCAAGATCACAAGCGAAATAGTTGTTGGGTTATGGTAACTGTAGAGGTACTATGCTTGTTACCATCTAGGAAAGGAACATAAAAAACCAAAATAGCAACAAAATCTTACTTTGCTTTCACCTTTATTTTTTAGAAGACACCAAGGTTAGGATGATGACACACTCTCAGCTACTGTTTTGGCACCGAGGGCTGCTTGCATGTGCTGCAGTCACGGGTTGAAATTGTGATTTACAGAACTGCTGGCAAATCAGCCCATTTAGGATTATGGTTAACCAGCAAAATAAAGAGCTTATATTAATACACATTTTAAATGAAGTTATGAAAATCAGGAAGATGGACTAATTAGCCTTAAAGAAAGAGATGAGGTCGGAAGTGGAGATTAAAATGTCAATTTCATTTTAGTTAAAATCATATTTGAAGGGCTTAGGTTCCCTGAGATTTGTTGTCATCTCATTGTAAATTGAGGAAAATGGCTGTCTTTTCAATATAAAGAGTTAGTACAATTGATCTAATAATAGAAAAGTTATGAAAATGTTTTAATAAAAAGCTTCATAATTGCTTCCCCGCCATTCACACGTTTCCTTTAAAAGGAAAACAGGAGGAAGTATGACTAACAGGCTTTAAATATTCCTGTTCAAAATCTGGAAGAAAAACACTTGAACACTTTTAGCTGTTAAAATAGCTTAACTTTTGAATCAGCTATGGTTAGGCTATTACCAGGGGTTATTAGTATTTATTAATAGTAATAATACTTAACACTGTTATCACTATCAGACTACCCACCCCCTGAGCACACAACAGAGATTGACAAAAATCGCAGAGTTTTGCTAGCCAAGAGGGCTGTCTGCTCCAGGGGGCTCTGGGGTGGGGGCTGAGCTCCAGTGGTGGGTGAGCAGCAGTAATGCCCCAGCTTGCCCTGTCATCCTCCTGGCTCCAGCCTCCCTCTGCGCTGGGGTGCACAGGGAGCAACTGTGTTGGTATGAATCATCTCCTCCCCGGTTACTGCCACCAGTCAGTGCTGGTGCTTCTGTTGCATTTGGTAAAAAGTTGGAGTCCCGGGTACTCCTTGGTGGTAACACTGCAGTAATTCTTTGCATTTGAGCAAGTCAGTCTTTCTCTTCAGCTTCATTAGGAGAAAGAAGAAATGATGTCTTCATTCTTGTACCTGCTGACATGCACGTTGGCTCCCCACACGTTGCCTGCTATGCCATTTGATAGCTCAGGGGCAGCGCTATGGTCATTGCTTGCTGGGCAGGAAATAGTAAAAGATGGTTAGTTTCTTCCAAGCAATCAAATAAGTTATACAGAAGTGTTTGTGCCACAGTGAGAAATTGGGGCTTTTCTTAGAAAAGTGGTTTGTACATCAGGTGGTGGTTACACAGTCTGTATCATTATTTTGTTCTCCAACAACTGATTGAGCCAATAAGAAAGACAAAATTTGCTGAACAGATGAGTTCATAGAAACCTTTTATTATGTTTTGCCTTTGCCTTTTTTTTTTTTTTTCTGTATCCTGAAGACAGTTTTAGGAAGTAGTCCAACCTGCTATAGTTACTGCTTTGCACTGAAGATACAGAAATCCCCTTGACTCACAGCAGTTGCCTATACATTGCATACATGCTTCCTGTTTCCTCTTCAGCAAATACCAAGCACTTCATGTTCAGAATTTCTCTCTTCATTACTTAAAATGCATGTTTACCAGGTTATAGCAGGAGTTGATCATTTACTGATGAGGAGAAGTCCTCCTACTAGTTCATCTCCTAGATAGGTCCTGTGATCTGCCTAGACTTACTATTATATAACATTATAGGCTATAATTGAGTTTCAACATCTCCATCCAGTTATATCATGCTTGAATTTATTTTGTTAGCCTCTTTTCTTATAAAAAAAAACCAAATCAAAACAACAAAAAAGGGAAGTATTTGCCACTAAATTCATGTGAAGGAACTAGGTGTCGGTGGCCCAGTATTCAAATAGCCCTCAGAGGGCAGTCTGGTTGGGAAGGTGACATAAGCGATCATACATGCATGCAGTATCCTCCTGAGGCTGTTGCAAAGGAGGGATTTTATTACTCAAGTGAAATGTTTAGGTCTTTGGGGCTGACATCTTTTTTATGTCATGAAATCTGTTTCAATGAAGAAACTTGACAACAAGGTTATAAGCCAGGCATCTGTTGATGCATACTCCTAAGTATTTCATCCCAGTTCCATGGAGAAAGGTCCTAGAGAGTGGACATATTTGATTTTCTGTTATCTAATTGCAGGTGTCCCAGGCTCCATGCCCAACGCATCATGGGAAGGTGACCTGAAAGCAGTGAAGTGGATTGATATGGAAGAGAGCCATGGAGGCTGTCATGGTAATGTGTACATTTTTCTTCATTTCTTCTTCCTGTTCATACAATGAAAACCACCTGATTGTTGTTCTTGTACTCCTACAACTCTTTAGACAGCACTTCAGTGGAGACAAAACATTAGAAAGAAGTAATTTCCTTTGTAGTCCACATGTGAATGATAGTGAGAATCAGGAATTCTATAGAATATATCACCCTTGGAAAGGGGGATATTTGGCAGCTCTTAGGACTCACATGAGTTAGCTGTCTACTTTCTTGAAGGCCTTGCGAGAATTTTCTCACAGATGGGTGGGAATAACCCACATGTATGTCCCCCACAGGGACACAGATGTGCTAAAGCCAGCAGCAGTGTGCAGGGTAGGTGTCCTGTGTGACCTCAGACAAATCCTAGCTCTCAGATGGCCTCTGATGCCTGCCAGAGCCACAGCTGATGCAGAACCTAAGGAGTTATGGGCTGACGATGATGGCTGAGCTCTGAGTTCTCCTATGTCCCATTACTTCATAACATGACACTAGCAGTAGATACACTTAGTTTTTCAGTCACTGGTTTGACCATGGCGTGCTGCTAACACTTCTGACATATCCAAGCGGGACAAGAAAGGGACTATTAAAATGCTAATGATACAAATTTTATTTCAAGAATTCTTATTCTATAACATAGTTGTTTGTAGTGAGGAGAAAAATTTTGAGAACTTCAGTCAGCTTCAATCACAGCAGTTTCGTACTAGCATAACTATACTGAGGTGAAATTATACCAGTATTGCCCAGAATTAGTTAGTGGAAAATCTAGTATGAGTAAGAGTATCAGTTTCTCTTCACTGGCAGAAGGAAATTCCCCTTTTCTGTGTTTCAGTCTTGTCTGAGAAAGAGTCTTAAATAGTAGCACTTCTTTTCTGAGCTATCTCCTTATTTTGCTCATTATTTATTCTGAAGTAACTTTCTTCATTTCATCCCATTGTTCATACTTATTCCCACTGCATGTCCATTAGACCTTTTAGTATGTTTGTTGTGTAGGAGATTATTTATAGTGGCTTTGTAGATAAAACATCTTAAAAAGAATGATTTGGATCCTTGATTCTGACATTGCTTTTTTTCTTTTACTTTTGGCAGGCCATTATGTCAGAGGCATTTGTGTATATGGAACAGGTGACCTTAAGTGGCTTTTTAACTCCACCTGTATGTTTGCAAATAAGTTTGAGCTCAAAACATACCCCCTGACTGTGGAATGCCTGGAGTTGAGACATCGGCAGAGAACCTTGTCCCAGAGTGAGGTTCAGGTGGAACCCAGCTGGTATTTTTAGCTTAGCAAAACCACAGGCTACAACACCAATAAAAGAGGTCATGAGAACAACAGCAGCAATCTTTTTGTCGTACATAAATGACGCATGAGATGGGTTCCTTTAGGATGTTCTGTAGATACAGTTTGTGTTGGCTTGTCTCACACTGCCTGCAAATCTCACCTTCCACTTCACACCTGGAGGCTGAAGTGTGAGAGATCCAAAAAAGAGACACCAGGGCAAAGCTCCTTGTGCAGCTGGAGGAGCTTTGCACTTTTGCCGTTTTTAATGGGCTGTTTTCTAGCTCCAGTTTTTGTCTTGCTATACTGTCATTGCTATCTTTTTCTACAAAAATATAAACAGAATCATGCATCTCTGGCAGTTCTCATGTCTAAAAGACAAGTGTGCACATTGGATAATCAAAAAGGTAATGAGTCACTGTCAGCAAGATCTTAAAAGCAGGAACACAGCTGCTGGCTGCACATACAGACACTGTTCTGGCAAAGATACTGATATTTACTGCAGAGAACTGACGGAAAAGTACTGGAAATGGAATGACGCTGCTGCATTTCCCAGATCTTACCTGCTCTTTAAATATCTGTCAGGACAAGGTTTGTAAGAGAAAACAGCTTCTTTTACTAGATCAGTGGGTGTGGTTCGAAAAATCAGATAGGCTTTCAGGCACAGGAGCCCTTCACCATGTCTGAAAAACAGGGGTTTGTGTATTTGTCTTACTTGGCCAACCAGCAGAAGTGGAAAAAATAAAAAAACTCTCTACAAGCAGATTTTGGCCCACCAGTGTCCTTAGATTGTCATGTGTAAGGACACAGAGGGAGAGATGGAAAGCGGGGAAGGAAGTAGCAAGATAAATATTTTCAGGACTGAACCAGCAGTAACTGAGCTCTGGCAATAACTCAGTAATCCTGTGTCATATTTTGATATGCCACAAGCCTTCTTCCCAAGTTTACTTCCTTTCATCTTCCTATAATGGTTAGTGCACATACTTAACCTTGGGGTTTACTTCATCACAGCCCTATTTTTATTCCCCAATAACAGCCACTAGAGGGAGGCCAACAAATACCTGAACAGATTTTCCCTTCCAAGTCTACATAACCCATTAAAGCACACAAAATCTCAACAGACTAGGCATGCCACAGAGAAAAAAATCAGTGCTTGGGAATATTTCAGTCTGAAAAACAGAAGGTAAAAGTTATGGGTATTGGTCATCGTGTCCTAAAAAACAAAGCAAGGAAACTAAACTATGAATGCTTCTTCCTGTAGCTATGATGGTTTTATTTACATGGCAGGTTAGCAACACCACTGAGTGACCTAGTCAGCAGCACAGAGGCAGTATAAATTGGGATGCCTGAATCTAAGGAGATTGTGTGCCACTCTCCTGTCTCTCTTCTGAACAAGCAATGATGGCTCAAAGAGTACCTCTTGAGTAACAGCAATTTACCACCAACTTTATTTAAACCATTGCTAATTTCAGGGCCTTTAAACAAACTGGATTGCAAACTGCAGCACTTCATAAATGATAACACATCATATTTAGATGTCCTGAAGCATGGCTGGTAACCTCCAGGGAAGGTTCTGAACAGGCAGGATCTGCCTCAGTCAGCTTATCCTGTATTTATAGCTGCCAACACCTAATAATGCAGATCCCTGCAGAAAGACACTGAGAATTTACCTCCAGAGCAGAACTTGGGTGGAAATCCTGTTTAGTATTTTGGGGAGGGGAGAAGGAGAGGGCTTTTCTAACTTGCTGCCATGGTGGCAACTTAAGAGAGAAGTATTTCAGAGAGAGCCATTCCTTCATGGAGGGAGTTTTAGGGTGTCTAACTTAAGAGAGATCTGGAACCAGCCCCCATCCCCCCTTTGCTCTAGCAAACTGAATATCCCCCAAGCTGAAACATCCCAAATAAAATAAAGGCATTCTTACTGTTTTATGTGAACATTTAAAGTAGCTCAGAGTAAGACTATATTTCATTGTTCTAACTCCACAGGCAAATGGCAAAATATCACTCAACAGCAGAAGCAGTAAGCTTGGCAATTTGAAACTACTGGTATATCTAAAAGGGTGTTGTATGCTGAGCCTGAACCAATATAGATATTTTAGGACTGGGTTATATTGCCTGTTTAAGTAACAACCCAGAAAAACAGATTTCTGTCCTGCTGTGATTGAGAGGATTGGTTTTCTTCATGAATGCTAATCCAGGTAATGTTTTTCTGTAAGTAAATTAATATGTTTTCATTGTGTGACTGATTTTTGGGTGCCGCACCTGCTTTTTTTTTTTTTTTTCTAATAGAAAGAACATTACATCTAATCACTGTAGAAGAGAGAAGAGAAGAGAAAAAATTCTGGCAACCAAACTTAAGAAATGCATCTAAACAAATGAGAATTAACAGTATTGGCAGTACTTTGGAATAGCAGTAAAAGACAGGGAAAGATGAAAAACTGGAGGAGGTTGCTGGTGGGAAGGACATTAAGAAGGGTTAGACTCCCATGCACAGCAGTAACAATAGTGATTCGGTTCAACAGCTGGGGTGCACCTCCATAGAAGGAGCTTGAGCTCTGAGTAACCCGTATCTGTACCTTCTCATTTTCTACATTACAGCGAGGCAAAACAAGGTAAACTCTTTCCCAGTGCTAACTGTAGCTGCCTTTTTGAATCAGTGTGAACAGTAGAGCAAAGTTTTCAGTTCTGTTCAGTCGCTCACTGGGATGCTGACTGGGACAGAGCACGCAAAGGACATGCTCTCTCTAACGGGATTTCCAAGTAAGTAAAACTTTCCACTGAAGTCAGTTTAACTTGCTTAGACAACTCACTGGATGCCTTTCTGCTTAGTGAGCTCCTAAAGACTTTTATACATCTTGCCCAAGGAATGGAAATCTCACTGTAGGATGTAAGGCAGGTGCAACCGCAGCGTTTTGGCTCCCGAGGACAGTGAAATGAGCACAGGAACAAGCTGCACAGGGAGGCCATGCAGTCTGCATCCTTGAAGGGTCTCAGCACCCCACTGGACAAAACCCTGAAGTTTTGTGATTAGGATTTATGCTTATGAATAAAAATAATCGGTCCCCTTTCCTCAACCTTCGTGAATTCTTAATATTAAGGATGTTTTTACATACCCTATGATGCTGTAACAGCTGTTCTATGACCCTGCAAACTTCTGTACCTGTTCTAGATAGTGCAATGCTTTTTCTCTATTCCCTAGCATTTCAGATATTCAATATATTAAAAATGAGAGATGCAGCATCCATTCCTCTTTTGTCACTCCATATGTGAGGTAGGGAGGAGAGGATATTTGGAGGTGCTAGCATAGCACCTTCTGTGAGTGGTAGGGAAGACATCACCATTGCTTGCTATCACCTTAGCCTAGGACAAGCCTTGGACTCATCATTAGGATTTAACTGGTCTATTAATGCAAGTAAGTAATCATGTAAGACATGAAGTATTCTGCTATGCAGCTCTATAGCATAGTCGGGCTTGCCATGGGACGTGTGAGCTCACAGGGCTGGTGCTTGCTAAGTCTCAAATTAAGTGGAACTTTCTCTTAAATGGTTTTAAAGTATCTGTTGGATGTGGAAGTTGAGAGTTTCTTCTCAAGCTTTTATCTTCCTAAGACACAGTATTTCTTCAGGTCCAGTAGGCACTGTCAGATGCTTGTTTTCCACCCCACAGTACAGCACTGTGAAGTTAATATGAGAGCTGAGACACTAGGGTGAGACACTAGCACCCAGGGCCCGATCCAAGTCAGCAGAAAGGGCCACAGATCAGGCTGAGCTCAGTGTGGAGTGATGAGCAGAGCTGCTGCAGACGGAGACCCTGTGGCTACATGTTCCCCAGAGCCAGCCAACATCAGTAGGAGCTGCAGTTTTAGGCTTACACAATGTGTGTGGCTGCAGGTCTGCTGTTCCCCATTGTGAATAACTTGCAGGTTTCACCCTATTTCCCTTTCAGCCGAACACACACAAATACTTCCAAAAATCTCCCACCCCTAGGAAGATGTATGTTCTGTATCTCCCTGGGACATTGGAGGTGTGTGCAGCAGCCAAAAATGTCTGGCAGCATGTGGCAGGTTGCAGCAATTGTGAAAGAGTCCCTGGGAGCACAGTTGTGAGAGCGGGTCCAAGAAAAGCAAGATACAGCACCGTGCCTCCTTGCATTCACTGCAGGGCATGAGCCTGCTATTGCACAACTGTGCAATGCTGCACAGATGCTGCTCTAGGGCTCTGGTCTAGAGGCCTGAATTAAATTTCCTGACAGAAAGTCCACAAGCAGGATTTTTTGAAGAGAAGGGAGGGCAAGTCTTAGGCTTAGCTTGTGGCTTGATATCTCTTAGCAGTGCTGCAAAACCCAGCCTAAACCAACAGGCTCCTAGCTCTCCTGTTCCCACTCCTGCTAGATTTGTCCACATCCTAGCTATATCAATTCCTCTACCAAGAGGCCAAGCAGTACTTGTGCCAATCCAAAAAGGGGTAGCAGAGGTGATCCCAGGTCTAGGAGCCAGGCAGCTGCTCAAAAAAAAAAAAAAAAAAAAAAGAAGAAAAACAGAGAGGCTTATCAAATGTGGATGTATTAATGTTTCCAGTTTTACCACTACTATTAAGCATTACCTTAGAGGTCATATAGTAGTCAAGTAATATGGGTCCAATATTGGACCCCCCCCATCAAATGAATAACAGAAATGGTATAAAAGAAAGGAGAGGTGACACTGCAGTTGAAGAACAAAGCAAAAGCCAAGAACACTTTAACGGGCTTGTGGTCTGGCTTGCTTTTGCTCTTTTGCAATATCCCACTCTTCTGTTAAAGTACATTGCCTTGTCTCACAAATCTTGTCTCCATTAATTTGCAGGCACCACAGCTACCACAAACCCACCATTCTGGCACCCACAACTGCCAGTCTGAAGCTTTGATGCACATGAATAAATCATTGCATGGCCACAGGAAGTGTAAAACCGAAGTAGCCAGTAGGACTGTCTTTTCATTGGCTCCTGAGTCAGTCGCTGGCTTCTAATGCAGTTAAACCATCAAAGACTACCATGGACCTGACTTCTGTGAACTGTGAAGTCAGCAGTGACACCAGCAGCACCAGCCAGTGAATTAAGTAGAAGCTGCAGGTGCAGCAAACATCACAGAAGATGGCGCCAAGATCTGCCCATTAGTACACGCCGACACGGTGTTACTTGCAGGAGTACAATAATGTCCTCATCTTCCACCAGGAATCAGCCTGTGAACATACAAATATCTAATGAACATAGTAACATCTTGACATAAGGCTTAAAAAAAGTTTTACTGGCATTACTCCACAGCAGAGAGGCACTTTTGCTGACCCTCTGCAAATAAACATTATCAATGGATTTGAATTAAGGTGGATTTTCATTGCTTCAGATTCACAGTGCTACCTTATAGCTACGGTTTTGCTTGCCATCTTCTTCCTCTCCCTACACCAGGGAAGGTTCAAACCTCTGCTAAGAGATGATCATTCAAGAAAAGGTCTTTGCCTTGCAAATCCTTCTGGCTCATGGCTGGTGACTGTCTGCAGAAATCTTAAGGTGGCACGGTGGTGGTTTGCAATGTGAGCATGAAAGCTCACTCCTAGGAATGGTAAACAACTGGCTGGTGTGTGAATGTCATTTTTGGCAGGGGCACCTGAAGAGGCTCTAAATAGGCACTAGAAGTAGGCCTGGAAATAGACACTCAAAGCAAAACAATGAAATCAGGTAGGTAACTTCACTATCTGATCTGATTAGGTAAGTCAAACCAA